GAATATTTCACAAGAAAATGTTGAGTCAAAATTTCGAATATTTTTTTTTATTAATCACCAACTTTGTAGAAATGGATGGGAATTTCAGACCCAGGCGGTAAAAGATCAAATTCATTCAACTATTCATTTTTTTCATTCAACTATTTTCGATTAAAAAAAAAAAAAAAAACAAAGTTAGCGCATACTTGTTTATTAACAATGTTTAAGCTTTTAATGAAAAATCGAATGATGAAGAAAATTTTCAAATTATTTTTATATATTGTGGAAATTCAAATAAAAGTATTAAGTTATGAATTATATTGATTATGATATAAAAAAATGAGATTTTGAATTCTTTATCAAATAAAATTTATTTGCTTTCAAACAATTGAATTTTTGTTTAAATGTTTCTAATTTTTTGAAAATTGTTCAAAAGATAATGACATGTGTTTATCTTAAGTATATCAAGGTGGCGCCATCGTTTTTTAGCTAATGTCTTGTTTCTAGGCGGATATTGCGTGTATATAGTCGCAATTTATTGACAAATATTTGCGACACATTGGTTTATATTCGTATACGAATATGAAACCACTTTTTTCAGATATGCCACCAATATGCCACCAATATATTCCAATATATTCCAATATATTATATAAAATACTCTTGTAAGTACTAGAGTACAAGTATTTGCTAAAGTACAAGTACTTGCCAGAGTACAAATTGCAAAATATATATTATTGAAAAGAAAATGTTTTAATGAAAAACCGAAAAAATGGTTTTTTCTTGATTTGTATAATTAAAAAAAATGTTTTATTTTATTTTTTTTATTTTTTATTGTGTGTTTTATTTATTTATTTATTTATTTATTTATTTATCCGTGGATTATGTACATTAAACTAATTTTGAACAATAAGTTCATTGTGCAAGAGTACTAGATTTGTACTAAAACCAGTACTAAAATCTAGTACCAAATATCAACGAAAATTTTATACTTGACATAACCTCTTCTTTGACCACATTTATTTGAAGCGTCTCAACATGGTAAGTTTGCTTCTTTTCACATATTTTAAAAATATTTTATTTAAAACTTAGAATATTTAAAAAAAATTACTAAAATAAATGTGGTCAAAAAAGAGGTTATGTCAATTATAAAATTTTCGTTGATATTTGGTACTAGATTTTAGTACTAGTTTTAGTACAAATCTAGTACTCTTGCACAATGAACTTATTGTTCAAAATTAGTTTAATGTACATAATCCACGGATAAATAAATAAATAAAACACACAATAAAAAATAAAAAATAAAATAAAACATTTTTTTTTAATTATACAAATTAAGAAAAAACCATTTTTTTTTGGTTTTTCATTAAAACATTTTATTTTTCAATAATATTTTTACAATGAGTCGTTTAAGTAACTAGAGTAATACTCTAATAACTGAAGTATTTTGTTAAGTATATTGGAAATATTGGTGGCATATTCGTGGCATATTCGTATATATTTGTTTATATTCTTTTTCGAAGTTGTTTCGCAATCTCCCCCTAGGTCTTGTTTGCAACTTAATTGTCAGTAAACTAATCGGCTTCGTGTATTATTTCATTGGTTGTCAATATATAAGCACCGAGATCAGCTACAAACACAACAAGTTCAATTGATTTTTTTTGATCAGATTCATTTGAAGAAAAGGTTTGTTAATTTTCTCTTATTTTTCAAAAAACAGGAAATCGGAGTATCTTTTGGAATTTTGTCTTCAAATATTTTTTTTTTTGTAGAAGAATGGACAACGAACATAACCTCGATGAAATTGATGAGACTTTATCAACAATTAGACAAAATTCTATAGCCTCCGATGTTTCTAATGGCTATGTGCAGGTGCAACCATTAACCATTACTGAACCTCGTTGAAGCAGCGAGTGCGTTAGAGAATTTGACAGCCGTTGAGGCTAATGACACTGGAAGTGGTTCATCAGCTGTTGTTCCTGGGACAAGCAAATCGATAATTACAAATGATTCAATTGCTGTTGTACCATAAATTGATCGACCAGATTAATGTAAAAGCAATAGTTATGATGATAGTAACGAAAGTGATGATAACCCGGATGTTCTTGGTCGACACAGGGAATCAGCCGAAAAATTAGTTGGTAAGCTATTGGAAGGAAATTTATCGCCAAATCTTCGAGAAAAAATCAAACGACTTAAAACTATGAACTTTCGCATAAAAAAAGGAGTGAATCGAATGATTAGGTATGAAAAGAAGAAAGAACTTTGCGAAAAATTGAATCGTGAGTTAAATTTAAAAAAATGTCCTCTTGTTTTTCCACCAAAACTAATGATCAAAATCAAAATTAGTGCGCATCAAATGTTTTGAAATTATTTTATTCAACTGAAATGTTTGATCTCAAATTCATTCCTTTAATACATTTTTTTCATTCAACTGTTTTCGATTATTAAAAAAAAAAAAAAAAAAAAACAAAGTTAGCGCGTACTTTTTTAAGCTTTTAATGATAAATCGAATGACGAAGAAAAGGACCGATTAAAATATCCCAGGGATTTGTGCCCCTTTTATGTCACACAGCTGTCAATGTGTGATTTGTCAACGAGCATTTTCTTCAAAAACATTACGAGCAAATTAAATTGTTTAATAAAAAAAAACATAAAATCGTTCGAAAATAAATTTTTAAGATAAAAATCTCGGTAATAAAATCAATTTGTATTTGAAAATAAAAAATAGTATCAAATTTTTTTCCATTGAAATAATTATTGAAAAACGATAAAACAAATACTGAAATAATGTATTCAGATTTCATATAGATGTCGCATCTGTTCATATTGCATTGTCGATTTAAAAAAAATTATCCGAAAATATTATTTTAATTTGCGCAAAAAATATCTATTTTATTATTTGTGTTTAAAAATAACAATAATTGTAAATATTTAGGTTATTGAAATAATTATTAAGGCACAAAAAGACAAATGTTGAAGTAGTATGTTTCATAATAATAACAATTTGTTTCGACGTCATGACACCTTTTTGGTCCGCCATGACAGCATTTTCGTTTTGCTTCACTGTGATTGGTTGATCAAAACGAGCACGCTGTCATGGCGGACCAAAAAGCTCGTCTTGATCAACCAATCACAGTGAAGCAAAACGAAAATGCTCTCATGGCGGACAAACAAATTGTTATTATTACGAAACATACTACTTCAACATTTGTCTTTTTGTGCCTTAATAATTATTTTAATAACCTAAATATTTACAATTATTGTTATTTTTAAACACAAATAATAAAATAGATATTTTTTGCGCAAATTAAAATAATATTTTCGGATGATTCTTTTGATCGACAATTTAAAATAAGCTCTTTATTTCTACATCTACGCTGCCTATCGGGTTTTTGAAAAATTAACAAGGGGCACTTTTTTAGTCGGTCTTTTTCAAACTATTTTTATATATTGTGGAAATTCAAATCAAAGTATTAAGTTATGAATTATATTGGGGGTATAACTTGAAATCCGCGGTTTTTTTCTTCAAAATGTGTATTTATTTTAATGATTAAATGAATGAATACATTATTTAAAGTACTGTCCATCTCTAGCCAATACATTTTCCTATTTCTTAGGCAATTTTCGGATTCCATGTCTAAAGGACTGTTAGTGTTTTTCAAGTATCTAATGACCGAGTCATTTTTCGACTTTTTTAAAGTTTGCACATAATTAATCAGAAACGGTGTACTGCATCGATTGAAATGAGTGGTATTCAGAAAGAGGCATGTCCAGTGAGTACAGCGGGGGTATAAAGATTTTTTATCGATCTATTTTTCAAACAATTTTTAATGATTTTGCAAGAGTGGAAAAATGCACTTTTTTAAAAATTTAGATAATTGAATTTTTCTACAAGTTTTTTGTAATTTTTCTGTTGCATTTCAACCAAAAACGATCAATCGACATCAATAAAGATCATCTGTAATAATTTTGATGAGTTGTAATTCGATCAAGTTTGATTACGTCACCCAATTCGCAGAATCACGAATTTTTGGATTTCACGTCGATTTTTATGATTCAGCTCAACTCACATATGGTTTTTTATACTTGAAATTCTTGAAATAGATTCCTCCTTCACAACCAATCTCAATTCAATACGACAATGAATCCATTTGTAAATTTGGAGCGACATTTGATTAGTCTTATATTGCCATTCAACCAAATTTTCCTTCTGTTCAAATTCGCTACAATTTTCACCACTTTCAGGAAATGTAAATATTTGGTATCAATGGCATTGTTCATATTTGATCAATCATCAAGTTTTACATGCATTTATTATAGAATTTTTTGCAAAAATGAGTGAAATAAGTCAAGTTGAATTTTTTGGGTGAATTTAGAGTTTTACACCAAATTCACCACTCAGTGTTCACCAAACTCAATATTTTTGTGTTGGAATCGAAAGATCTTGTTCAGCTCAAGGTTCCATAATGATTATATACATTTCTGATTGGATTAAAGTGAAAAAAAAATTAAAATCCCGCAAATGATGTTTTTTCGAAATAAACTCAGACATTTTAGATGCAGTAAAAATTTGTGTTGTTTACAATTCGATCAAATGATATACGCCGATTCTTATAGCATTTTGACAGTACTTTGACATAAATACATTGGAATCGTAATTCCAATTCGAATAAACAAGTAACGCCATCTAGCGAAAAACCTTGGATTTCAAGTTATACCCCCAATATTAATTATGAGCTGTATCTTGATATAAAAAAATCAGTATTTTTTCACCGAATAAATTTTCTTAAACAATAAATTCGAATAATAAGAGTGTATGTCTTATTTTGGACTCCTCTAATACATCCACCAGGAATTTTGAAAAAAAAAAAAAAAAATGGTGACATGCTGGGGATGTTTACTGGTGAGTATGGCGTTTAAATTTTCATATATAACAAGAGAATTGCATTCTATCAGATAGATAGGTGCGAGCATGTCTTTTGTATTTCTGAAAATTTACAAATTAGAATGAAGCTTACCGTGGAATGTCTCCAAAATCGAAGAATGTCATGCAAGTCAGACGATGGTGCCAATAACAAGAAATCCCTCCATTCATCATAGGAAATATTTAGGCTCTTGTCCTGGTCCATTCTGCAAATCGAAAAATTCCTTTTTAAGTGAACACTCTTTAAGTATAAAAACATGCTTCTATGATTCAGATAGTTGCGAATAAAAAATAATAACAACGTATTTAAATAAATAACATTTAAGTTGTAAACTACGATCATTTTCAAAACAGCTGAAAAGAATATTATCGACAACTTTCTACGGTAAACATCACGCGCTTCTTATTAAATATAGAATGTGAAAAAAGCACATTAACATGTTCATCGTTTTCCGTCACGAGTTTTGCAAACGCGTGTACGCATTGTGCAGCCGTTGTTCTTAATCTATATGAATGAAAAATTTACTAGTATTTTCAAATTTTATGTCATATACTATGCGATTCGTGTGCTTAAAGAATTTCTATGTAATTTGTATGACGTTGATCAGAAAAAAAGTTTAACACAGGTAACGAAAAAATAAATATGTATGTACATAATACACATATTTTTTGTTGTTTGAGTGAACTTCGAACAGTTTGCACATCACGGTAGACCGGGCATCTATTTATGCCACATACTTATAAATAGTATAAAATAGTATATTTAAAACGGTTGTCGATTGTATAAAATTGTTATTTAACAATGTCATGTTAAAAACGATGCAAATTATTATCACAATGGGTTGAACATTGTTTTTGTTTTATTTCAATCTTTTTTTGAAATTGAGATTGGAATAGCAACTAGAAAACGTTTAATAAATTTATATTTTACCGTTCTAGTAATTTTGTTGCTTCAGCTTCGGAGATGTCAATTCCTAGTTCGTTAAATGCTAAGATCAGTTCCTCCAGATCCACAGACCCTGTTGATAGTCAATTGAAAAAGATAAAAATACCAAAATGACTTAAAATTCATTCGTTTTCTAATCGGTTTTATATGCAAATAATTTACCATCTTTGTTTCTATCTAAGTGCGAAAATTGTAATTCCAAATTCTTTTCGTGCTCTCGAACGTAATTGATGAATTCATTTAAACCGACATCACCACTTTTATTGCTATCAGACTCTTTTAAGAATTTCTGTTGTGAGGACAACAAATTTTCCATTTGATTAAAATTCTATTTTTTTTTACACAAAATAATAACATTAAAGTGTAGCTATTACTTACTTCTGCATATTGTGTGGACATGCCAACTCCTTTTAGAGCACTCGTCAAATCTTGAATGTCGATTCGTCCATTGCCGTTTCGATCTAAACGCTTGAAAATAATGGCCAAACGTTCTTCACTCTCTAAATCCGTTGCTAACCCATTTGATAAATTGTTGTCATCCCGAGCACTGCCAAAAGAACTCATGCCATTTGGCTTATCTTTATTTTTACCTGACATTTTGTCATAAAAAAATAATCACAATTTTGTGCGATTTTTCGATTGTAAAACGCAAATACGTTCTTAATGCTGCGATTCCACTTGATTATTTTATATTCAACAACACGATTTAATGCAATTGAAATTGCTTCATCCAAGCCATTCTCCATGTGACGTGTACGCAAATATTATTTATTATTATAATGAAAACACACAAAAACTAACATATAAACGAGTTAAAAATTCTTATTAGCCTTCCCTTTTTTTTGGACTTTTGTTATTTTATTTTCTATACTGCATACGGACATACGAATGTGATAATGTCACTTATGTCTATTTCATGTGTTTGTTTGCAAACACTTGTAAATCGACTTCTGTATGGGTATGTTCATGATGGAGTCAATTCCGACGGCTGAGTATTTTTATTTCAATTTTTGAAGTGTTTTTTTTTTTTTTGAATTGATAAAAGTTTAGCTCAAATGTCTTATGAATACATTTTTTCAGCATCACTTTTGTGACTATTAAGAGTAATCGGACCGTATATATGAACGCTATGCATGAATGAAGAACGCACCCACAACAGCATTCAAACTTACACGATAACACACGTCTTCAATTTTTGACACTTGCCATTTTTTTATGATTGATCGTATAGAGCTTATGGGAACTTTTGTTTCATTGCTTTTTTTCGGAAGTAAAACTCATTATTTTTGTTTGATTTTCTTGAATTTTTTTAATAATATTTTTTATATGCCATAAGAATTTTCGAAAATTGGCACTTGGAAACCAAAATCTCACCTCAATTTCTTAGAACGTACGCATTTTTATTTCATTTTTTGTGAATTGTTTCAAAGAGAAAGAGTGTGTAATTAGTGAAAAGAAATGGCCAGTCCACGAACCAGACGCATTTTACAAGAAATTCGTCCAATAAATGAAAATACAGTGAGTATTCAATAATGGATCATCGAAAATGTGAAATGAGTGATTTTTTTCGGAAGATTAATGTAAATTTTATGCATTCGAATGTAGAAATGTTTTGAATGTGGCACACACAATCCTCAATGGGTTTCTGTAACATACGGTATATGGATCTGCCTGGAATGCTCGGGAAAACATCGTGGTTTGGGCGTACATTTATCGTTTGTGCGATCAGTGTCGATGGACAAATGGAAAGATATTGAATTAGAAAAAATGAAGGTTAATCATCGTATAAAACATAATTAACTGAAATAATGTCGATATCGAATTTCATTTGTTTTGTTCCACTTTAAAAAGGTCGGTGGTAATCAAAAGGCACGTGAATTTTTTGATAGTCAACCTGACTACGATGATACAATGTCTATCCAACAAAAATACAATACCAGAGCTGCAGCTCTTTATCGAGATAAAATTTCAACGCTAGCTCAAGGAAAGCCGTGGAACGAAGAGACATCGACTGCATCAAATTATAACACTTCATTAGCATCCGACACACAAAAGCATTCCAGTTCGCGTGGCTCAAATAGTCAGCGCAGCTCAATTGAGACAAGCAAGAGCTATCAAGATTTGGGTGATGCTAGCAATAGCTATCAAAACTTTAATACACGAGAATTCCGTGATCAGAAAGATTCATTTTTCAATCGAATTCAAGAAGAAAATGCTTCTCGACCTGAGTAGGTTTAAAATCACATTTCTCGTATATGTAAAATATTTTTTAATCGGCATTTATTTATTTTCCTTCAATCACAGTCACTTGCCACCGAGTCAAGGTGGAAAATATGCTGGCTTTGGTTATTCAAAAGATCCAATGCCAAAAAGTCAATCTCAAGAGATTTTTGATACAACGTTGACGTCTCTAGCAAGTGTTAGTATTCCGAATAGGAATTTAGTCAATATGTTCAATATTACCAGAGTGAACATCTTAGACGTTTGTCGTATAAACATTCATTGTCGTTCCATAGAAATAGCACAAGCAATGTATTTTTATTAGGCAACGTCTATGTTATTTAATTGAATTTTAATGATCATTTCGCATTTAAGTAAATTGAATAAAAATTAGTTTATATTTCGTCTCATTTAGGGTTGGAATGTATTTTCAATTGGTGCATCGAAAATTGCCAATACTGCTCGTGAAAATGTTTCACGCTATGGAAATATAGCTGGCCAAAAGGTATGGTTACAAATGTGTCAGCACATAAAATTTTCGTTTTTTTTTTTGTTCATTTATATTTTGTTACATTTATTTTCAGATTATTTATTTTGCTTTGATTTGTTCTGTTTAATTTGTTTTGTTTTTTTTTTACTAATTAAAAGGTCAAAGATGGAACATTATATGAAGATGTTAGTACAGGTGTCACTAGTTTTGCTTCCAAGGTTTGCATTTAATTTGATTTCTTATTGTGTTTTTTTAATTTCGTTGTGTTCATTCGATAAATAAAATAAATTCGTAAATATGATCACATAAATTATCAAAAGGATTTAGATTTTTTTCGTTTATCTATTCAATAATAACAGATTAGTGAAATTGGAAAAAAAGGATGGAGCACATTGAATGGAGCCAATTTATCATCACCACAAGAAGGCTATGAGAATAATTTTTGTGAAAATTATCAAAACTCGACAATTTCACGCTCGCAATCATATCAAACGGATAGTTAGTAAGTAAATAAATTTACTTACCCAACTTACTCAACTTATTTATTACAATTAATTTTGTCCTGTTTTCTTTTCAATTGCGCTAGTTCAAATAATGATAATTGGACCGGTTTTGATAATAAATTCGAATCGTCAACACAATCCTATCAAGGTGGTTCAATTGAGCAACAAAACACTTCACCAACAACCGTGATTAATTCGACCAGAAAACAACACAAACATGAAAAAAACGAAAAAGGAGATTTTAACGCTCTTGATGTGAAAGCTTCCAAACCGAAACCAACAAATAAGACCAAAAGTATTGAAGACGACGCATGGAATTTGCTAAACAATTAATGAATGAATATATAAATTCACAACGTCCATCAATCCACAATTCAATCATTCAGACCGACAATTTATTATGCAATTGTATATAAAAATCAATGTGAAACCGTTTATTCAAATTAAATCTTTATGTTGACACTCTTTGCAATTGAAAAATTTGAAATTGCCAAACTAACAACGTTTTTAATGTTATCTTTTCCTTTATCTGTATGGATTGATCATATGTCCTAAAAAAACTTGTTTAATAGCATAAATTATGCTGCATAATATTTTTAAAATTGACCCAACTAAGTTTCATTACCTGTTATAACAACAATATCGTTGTTATCAATATCAATCTTAATTTTTGAATAATAATCTTTTATATAAGATTCTTTTGTCGATAGCCTTCTTTGCTACTTTACAATTATACATAGATTTATGTCAGAGCTTATGCACGAAATTATGACATGTTGTAAGTTTTCCGTTAAGATTTCAATCGAAATGTCAATTCCGATCCATATTATTTAATAAACACATTGGTTTCTGACATTTATTTTTTGTGCTATATTAAATATCGAATATTTCTTCGGACGAGGGAGTGATTTCAATCCAAACAAACTAAAAATAAATTAGACTGATTTAAATTTTACGCCATATTGACGCAATATTTCCAAGGCTAATACAAGCACAAAATTTATGTATGCGTATGTTTGTGTATGTATTGGTAGATGAGCGCCATCTGATGGAATTTTTTTTTCTCAACGCCATGGATACGTAGTAAACTTGAATCATGTGAAATCATGTATTTACATGTATATGAAAACATGTATCGAGCTACTTCTTTGCTATGCATTGTGTGTGAGTCAGACGTTTTAAGGTCCGCATTCATTTAATACAGTACAGTTAAATCATGAAAGTAGTACGAAATTAATACGAATTTCGATGTAAGGTTATGAATCCATTGCCATTTGTATGCTCTCCATTTTTATAACTATACAGCCAATGATTGTTGTTGTTGCTTTCGTCTCTGTTTCTTTTTTTTTGTTATTTCTGGATTTTTCTTTGTTTTATGCAATACCAAATGACCTTATGGTAGCTATGTTGTAGAAATAAGCATGATGATGATGATAACAAATTTTTGTTTGATGTATAAATTCAACAAATTGTGGGAAGAAGAAAAACAAAATAAAAATAAAAAGAAAATAAAAACTACATTGGGTCGCTTTGTATTAATATATTTCTTTTGAAAATGTATTTTTCATATTTGTTTGCTTTTTCATTCATCGTTTTTATATTTTCTTGTTTCGCAGAAATAATTAATATTTTCGAAATTTTACACACACGTTCCATACAACACAATTTTTAAACGCAATCAATCTGGATGTTTTTGAATAGTACATTATGTTTGTTTGTTTCATTAATTTTTTTGGCTGTTTCGACAACATTTAAATTATTGTATCATTTTTTTGCTTTTTTTGATGTTATTGGGAATTTTTTTAAAACTTTTTTTTACATTTTCGATTTTTCGGAGTCAATTGTTTCAAGAAAGAAATAAATTTGAATTTATTGTTATCCCTCTTACAGAGAGATGAACAGAAAATATGATTTTTTTTTGTTGTTGCTTTTGACAAACTTAAATTCCTTAATTCACATTTGATGTTCATAAAAAGTTCCCTCCTCGAGATGAATGGGATGTGCACGCAGGTTTTACTTTTCATAGATTGGAAGAATAGGAGATGTTGGCCAATCTTCACCTTCTTCAGAGCAAACACTGCCAGTTCTGTAGGGAGACAAAGAAACAAAAATGATTTTATTATAAGTTGGATCAATGTGTTGGTGAATCACTACAATGTACAAAAACCAATATGAGTCAGAGTCAAGTTGGAATTAACGGGTTCGCGCGACACATGTTGAATTAACAAATTATGAAGCAAACAATCATCGTTGTGTCGAAATAGCTTTCTATTTTTTCTAATCTTAATTAAATTGACTTATTTTTGTTTTTACTTTTTTTACTTTTGGGCAATTTAAAAATTTATTAAATAAACAAAAGGAAAAATTGTATATAACAAATAATAACCTTGAACGCAGTGGGTTATGATTGTTGTCCTCTTCAATAGTTGGTAAATGTGATGTCAGACGATCGGTTGGACGAAGTACTTTCATTGTTCGTGATGAGAGCTTCCACACCAAACGTTGACGATGTGGTAGTTTCTGTTGTCCATTGTAATGTTCCAAAATGTTAACAACGATTTTGTGCGTCTCGAAAAATCCATGTTCGGTGATTTTGCAGAGATTTTGCAATTGAATTGCATACTGAACGAGACCTTGAACTTGTTCATTGTCCGCGCCAAATTTGGCTGCAATCATCTCATCCATATGAGTGCAAATCAATGCCAATGCCAATTCCGATGCACGCATACTTGCACAGCTGGCTTCGCATGCCAAAATTTCCAATCGTGAGACCAAGTCTTGAAAGATTATGGTCGACTCGAAGAACGTCTGAAGATTCACTTCTACGGCAACACGATGCAGAACAACATAGAAAATGCGCAAAAATGAAAGAGGTGTAATCGGAGCAGTCTCCAATTGAACGCCAAGTTTGCTTGCAATCTAAATGCAACAGGCACAAAATAAAATAGAAAGAAGTAATTTTAAAAATTAATAGGTCAAATAAACATTGATTTAGACACATTAGGTATGGTGATTAGTATGAAAGTAATAAAACGAAAGCATAAAAATTATTAAACATAAACAAAACTTATACTTACAATGGTCGACATTCGTTCGACATCGCCCGATGTACAGCGACATTGCGAAATAGCAACCAAATCGTCGGTGTCAGCAATGTTCAATTTCAATTGACGTACAGCCAACAGGAACGATCCAACACTGATGCAAGCCATATGCTTTGGACGCACTCTCATCTTGGTTAGGAAACGATCAACCAAATTTACGGCCACAAAAAGTACATCACTTGGAAAATCGTACCACATTTTCAAGCATCGTAAGACGTGAGCTGCACCGTCTCTTGCGCCAACAGTAACTTCACCATTATTCGAATCCTCTGGCAAAAACAATGATGGCTGGAATTTTGTTTCAAGTGCCAGCGATTCGTATAATTTTCCAAATAGTTGTTCGTTTGGTAAAATGCTCAATTGTGTATTCACACAAGCTTCTTGTATTACTGCTGCAGCACCCCGATTCTCAAGCTGGGCACAATTCAATCTTCGCTGCATTTGCTGCTCTGAAGTGCCAGCAATACAATCGCTGTTCGAATTCCCATCTCTCAGCATTGTATGGCTAACAGAGTAGCGATCAGTGAAAGACATGATTAGGCCTGGCCTAGTATACGGGGTGGCGAACACTTTTTATTTTATTTATCTTTCTCTGGATCACCAAATTTCAATCACTTCGTTTATAATTACAATTTAACAATGAAATGACAGACTCGTGTTTCTTCTTCTTATTTTTTTTCGCTACGCCACACTTTGCGTAAATTCTGTCAGACGGCGCTGTTGTCGACTGAATTTGATACGTGCATGTGCTCTCGTACCAGATGACAATTTATGTCAAAACATGCTTCCAATGTAAATAAACGTATCGAGGTTATTCAAATCGAACCGATTTCTTTTGCATCTGTTTTCTATCGTTAAAGCAATTAATCTGCTATTTAGAATGGAATTATTCACCGTCCAAAGGTTGGCATGCATTTATTTAATCATATTTTACATGAAATTTTAGAATAAAAACACTTTTAAAAACCCATATGCTTTCAGGTATGACATCGAAGTAAAGCAAAATGATCCACGTAAAGAAGAACGAATATTAGAACGACTCAAGAGGAATATTGAGAAAAAGAAATCCATAAAGGAAAAGCAGAAAGTGTTAGAAGAAGAACAGACAAGATTAGCAGCACAGGAGTTGGATGAAAATAATGCAAAAAATGAATCGAAACAGGACGAAGCAATGGAATTGGATGAGGCAACATCGTTTGCGGAAGATGAAACAAAGGATAGAAAATCACGTGATGTTGGTGAAGATTTCATGATTTTAGGTGATAATAATTTCCAACGAAGATTAATAGTTGATGCAATGCTACCCAATTGGCTTGCTTATCCAACTGTTATCTCAAAGAATTTAACTGAAAAGTCAACACCAATCGAAAATATTGACTACATTTCACCCGAATTGAAAAAGTGCCTACAAACAATGAACATCGAACATTTGTTTCCCGTTCAAGAGGCAGTCATACCGTATATACTAAATGTTCACACGAAACCATCACCATTTCGACCACGGGATATTTGTGTATCAGCTCCAACTGGTTCAGGAAAGACACTTGCATATGCGTTGCCAATCGTTCAAAATTTATCGAATCGTGTAGCACGCGAAATCCGTGCGCTTATCGTTTTGCCAGTAAACGAATTGGCTGTGCAAGTATTGAAAATTTTCCAAAAACTATGTGAAGCATCCAATCTAAAAGTGGCTCTCTTATCGAAATTTACACCATTTGAAATTGAGCAACAACAACTAGTTGAACAATTCGATGGAAAATATTACTCGAAAGTGGATATTTTGGTGGCTACGAGCGGTCGCTTAGTGGAGCATATCCATTCAACAAAAGGTTTCTCTTTGAAATCGTTAAAATTCCTTGTGATGGATGAAGCCGATCGAATTATGGAACAAATTCAAAACAATTGGCTCTATCACTTGGACTCACATGTAAAAGAACAAAGTGATTCAATTTTATCGGGTAAATCATTGCTCTTGTCATACAACGAATTGGATAATAATGGATCAATACCGCACAAACTTCTATTCTCGGCAACATTGTCCCAAGATCCAGAAAAACTTCAGAGTTTAAAATTGTTCTCGCCAAAATTGTTTACATCCATTGTGAAACCATTTGAAACGACAGGAGATATTGATGAATCTAGTGATTCAAGGAAACGAGGCGAATTCATTGGCAAATACACAACACCATCCGAATTGACGGAAAAGTATTGTCTAACTGAAGCCAAAATCAAACCGTTGACATTGTACACACTTCTTAAAGAGAACAATTGGAATCGTTTCTTGTGTTTTACAAATAGCGGCGAGTCCGCTCACAGATTGTCATATGTACTGCAAAGTTTATTGGGAGATGATATGAAAATTGAAGAACTCTCATCGAGCTTAACGCCAAGCACAAGAAATGCGGTACTATTGAAATTTCAAACTGGCAAAGTGGATGGCATTATGTGCTCAGACGCCTTGGCTCGTGGCATTGACTTTCCAAATGTAGATGTTGTGATATCTTACGATGCTCCGCGCCATGTGAAAACATATATTCATCGTATTGGACGAACGGCTCGGGCTGGTAGACCTGGTACATCAGTAACTCTCTTAGTACCAACTGAATTAAATGAGTTTCAGGTATGTTTGTGTTTACTTGTACAATAATTAATTAATTGCATATTGTTCTTTGAAATTACGTATCATGTTATGTATTTTAGGCAATCATTAAAGACGGTGGAAAAGAGAATGTTGACGAGCTTAAAGTCACTGATAATGCAGAAGAATCAAAGGCCAAGGACTATGCGACTGCATTGCAAAAAATGCAAACGGCATTGAAACGAGAGAAACAAGTTCAATTGATCAAACAAATGAATGAGAAAAATAAATCAAATAATAAACGAAGTGTGATTGGTCAACTTCAATCTCAAGTGCAACAAAACAATTTAACGGGAACGATTAGTGATGAGCACAACATACCGGAGAGCTGGAAATGGGAAAACTTGGATAAAATCAACAATAAAAAAGAACGAAAGGGAATAAATCAAAAACGAAGTAAAAAGAAAACTCAAGTCAACGCATTGAAATTAGTATCGGAATAACTAATAATTAGACTTTCATTTTGAATAAATATTCTGATGTGTTGAAAAACATCTTTAATCTTTTGCGTATTATTTGAGTATTTATGTACAATTGTACATGTTCAACAATACCCATATGAAAATGATATAATTTAAGTATCAGTAAAACAGATTTTCAGTTGCTATGAATAACTTTAATCGAATGAAATGAGATAGTCGTAAACGCTTTTGTATCATATTTCTCGATTCGTATAAAAAGAAAGGAAAATTGTTCATTGGCTCATTTCCTTGCAAGTGTCATGGTCGACCGTTTACTTTGATTTTTTGGCTTGCAACTTTCCGGCTCTTCAAATGGTCCATTAACCTCAACAGATACATTTCAAAGCGAAATAAGATCTACTTTTGATAATTTTATTATCACAAAAGCTGACGTATTGTTTTATTATTTTTATTATTGAAATTCATTTCGAAATAACTAAGCATAAAACTTTTATTTTCAATAAATATTCTTATGTGTTAAAACATAGCTAATCATTTGCGCATTATTTGAATATTTACATGCATGTGACTAATTAATACAGCTATTGTAATTTGATCTCTGACACATTTGCATCTAAAAAAAAATTCATTCAAATTATTAAGGGTGCTATTGTTCAACAAAATTTGATCACAATTAAATCAATTAAAAATTATAAAAAAAATAATAATTGATAAACGGAAATGTATTGCTGGACGCTGCTTCTACCTGATGTGTGTAAACTCTTGAGAAAAAAGAGATATCAAAAAATATTTTGTGTACATAGATTTTAAACAAGTAATTGCTATCTTCTTGATTTCTCTCCTTTTATTACACGCCATACTTTTATCGGCATTGCCTGTAGACTACGAATCTGTGTCGTTCCCCATTTGTACCAGAATAATCCATACACTAAACATATCAAACACTCTAAATAGTATCCATCATATAGTATGTTGCATTTTCCACCTAATTTGACGCATTCCTGCAAATAACAGACGGAAATATATTTTTATTTACTTTCTTGATAATTGAGATGATAAAAATGTACCTCTTCCTGTATTTTTGATTGACATGTATTGTTAGTGAGTACCAAATTATCGGTGGGATCAGTACTTATGCATTCTTTCCACGTTAGTACATCAACCAGCCATAAAACGATACTGGTTGGCCAGTTTCCACCCAAATTGCAAATTGTATTTAAGAGTGTCATGTAAGTTCCGCCAACACCTGGGTCACTGATTTTTGCAAAGAATGCCATAACAGCGACAAACATGCAATATAAACATATTTGATAGAATGAATAATTCACAAGTAATAGAACATAAAGATAAATTGGAACGTCGCCATTTGAACTGAGTGTGTATGGTGCTAAAGCTACAATTCCTGATGCAAATATTCCAAATAAAATCCGAAATGGAATGGCCTTGATGTATACTTCCATTGGTTTAGATCCCGTTGTATATCTACTAACGACGAGCGGTAGGAAAATTTGCAAAGGCACCATGGGTATGGCAAGCAATGCCAGTTTATCTTTAGGGAGTCCAGCTTCAACCAATTTCAATGATGTGACTGAATCACATGCGGCAAATGTAAATTTCACGGTTAATAAAATCGCAGCTAATATTTTAATTGGACGCATGTTGACAATTCGCCAAAGTAATTTATATGTGTCGACAATGTTGAACTCTTCCTCGTCATCATCTTTGTTGTCAATCGATTGATTTCGTTCGGTTTTCAAGATTGCGACCAATGTTGTTGTGAACAAAAAACAAAGACCCCAGAACCAAAGGAAACCTTTTGAATTCGAAAATGAGAAGAAAAATGTCAGAATGAATTATAGTTTTATTTCGAATTTCGAATGAAATTGTCGCTATAAAACCTCAATAATACCTGGCAATGTAATTAGACCATCATCTTTGGGAACTGTTCTCAAATAAGTGTTACAGAAGTCTTTTGATTCTAGAGCAATGAAGACAACATATCCAAAGAAATAGCCGGCTGTTTGACCGACGGAATTGCATGTGGATGCATGTCCAACATTGCATCGTTTCAGCATTGTTAATGCCCAACCGTCAACAGCAATATCTTGTGTTGCGGCCAAAAAATTCAAAGCAAAAAATAGTGCTGTCAACGCTGGAACACTGTCCTCAAGATGACCACCTTCAAGCCAATACTTTACATGTGATGATAAAACTAACATGAATATGCCGATGAGATACTGTGTTGGAATCAACCATGATTTACGACGACCAAATTGTGGCCAAAACAGTGAATCAACTATTGGTGCCCATAATAATTTCATGCTAAATGGCCACGTTGCAAAACTAAATTCGGCCTGTTGTTTATAATTTGCACCGCGATTTTGTAGCAGCATTGGTATTGCTGCTGTTAAGCCTAATGGAATTCCTTGAAGTAAATAGAGGAAAAATAAGATTGCTATATTTGCACGATCACCACGTATGTCAGGCCTTTCGTTATCATGCTTGTGACTATCGATTCCTAATAATGGAGCTCCGTAGTCAGTCTTTTCATATCCATTCATTTCAGGATAATCGACGGAACGTTTTCTTTTATTCATTTTATTAATATTTGTCCAGTTTCTTTCATCAACACTATCAATAATGTAAAACAGGCTTTTTTCTTTCGTATATTGACTACGTTTCAATATTGAGGTTTTTTCAATAACAACTTATTCACTGCATAAAAACTAGAACCGAACACAACAACTTGAAATGTAAGTTCTTGTGATATTCGATTTTGGTGTTAATTTAAAGACGATTCATCAATATAAAAAGAATGGTATTTAAAGGATTTTGCAGTTTTATTTCATTGAAAAAGACACGTCGCCGTACATGTTTATTACACGCACATAGCGAAAATAACATCACTTTACAATTAGATAGCTGAACTGTCAATCTAATATGTTTTTGATTAAGGGTGCGTTCAGGTTTTTTCTGTTATTTGATTTTTTTTTTATAGAGTCGTACATTTTTGAAACTATTTTTTCAAATGTTTTTATATTTTTCTCAAGCTGAGGTAATTATATATTTTCGTATATTTTTGATAAAATATTAATCTATCATTTTTCCTATTTATTCCTTATATGTATATAAGGAACAATTTCTAATAATAATTCACCCATTACCAGGCACAAATTCACGGTCAAATTTGGACCCGGATTTATGTGTAGTTTCAGTTATTTTTACGGTTGCCATAGCGTAACATTCAGGTGTGATTACATGGAAAAGAGGAACGACAATCATTAGTATCATTTGATATGAAATGTATATGATATATCAATTTTTTAAATTAAAAACGTTAATCACCTACGGGCTCCTTCCCTCCGTACTACCGTTGTACTGTTCTTATGAACGCACAACAAGGCCACAAGATTTGTGTAACATAAATGGTGTCAAGCCTAGCTAAGCTAACTAATCGTTTTAATATTTGTTTTATCTAATAACTTATGGATTCAGTGCTGCTGTCAGTTGACATTGCTTAGTGGTCTTCTCAACGAATCAGGCACTTGTACGCCAAACATCCGACAAAGTCCTGTGTAATTTGAAGCAAAAACATTAAAAAATGAATAGACTCTATTTTTTATTGATTCATACCTTTGAGCATAATGCATTTTGCAGCAACAATATCGCGGTGCCAAACAACTGTCTGTGGAGCAGCAACATCACCCTGAACATTTAATGGCCAATTTTTGTAGGTAACTTTAACCTTTGACATTAAACGCCCATTCTGAAGTATTTCCTCTACATCCTGATAATTGCCATTGCGAATTCGACGCTTAATTTCCTTTCATCCCTTTTGCAAAGCACGTTTGCTAACCGTTGCCACAATTATATCTGCTAGACTAGCGACTGCGTTCGGTCGTCCAGCAATCGGTTTCGCTTTGCAACCGTAGCACACTTTGAATCGATGCGGTTTTGTTTTCGCTAGAAATCGTTCTTGGCAATTCGCGCATGTTTGTGATGTTCCCCATTCATCTTCCATTTTCACCACTGAATGGCCAAGTTTCTTGACGCTCACCAAAAATTTCCGAGATCCTGGACATCTTATCCGTCTCTTCAAACCAAATGGCCGATTGGGTGGCATCTCCGACGCACCAAATATAATTATTGACGGCCCGTTGTTGGTCACTGTCACGGCGATGTTATCATTTACTTGGTTCGTCTTCATGTAATGATCAAAATCCAGTCGTGAATATTTACGCGTTGCATGTGCTGACATTCCTTTTCGTAGCATTTTGATGCGATACTCAATGTACCATTTCCATGTTGAATTACGCGGTGATGGTGGAGCGAATGGGTATGTCTTCAGATGATTCTTTTATTCGATATCAAACCATCCAGTTAATTTTTTCGCCTCTTTTTCTCTTCGTTTCTGCCGAGTTTCCCATTAAAATCGCGTGTTTGGTATTGTGATGTTTTCCTTCATAATTCAAATTGATAAAAAATAATGAGTTTCGATTCAAACACATTTCAAATCACATTTCAAAATATCTCACCTCAACGTCTGGTTCATCAGGTGTTTTCCGGATGTTGCGACGCGTTATAGCCAACCACGTTTTTTCATTCGGATCGATGCCAATAACGTATTTCTTGCCCACAAGATTGTCCGCCTGTAAATGCACATTTTCGTTGCACGGCTGCTCTAGTTTGGTGTACAGTGTCGATCCGGAAACACTATTGGTCACGATTTGATGATGGAATTGTTTGGATCGTT